AGATGTGTATAAGAGCCACGCGTTATACCCCGCACGTTATACCTCACACGTTATACCCCACACGTTATACCCCGCACGTTATACCCCACGCGTTATACCCACGTTATACCCCACACGTTATACCCCACACGTTATACCCCGCACGTTATACCCCACGCGTTATACCCCACACGTTATACCCCACACGTTATACCCCACGCGTTATACCCCACGCGTTATACCCCACGCGTTATACCCCACACGTTATACCCCACGCGTCATACCCACGTTATACCCGCGTGTTATAGCCACGTTATACCCGACGCGTTATAGCCACGTTATACCCCCACGCGTTATAGCCACGTTGTACCCCACGCGTTATAGCCACGTTGTACCCCACGCGTTTCACCCACGTTATACCCACGTTACACCCAACATGCCCATTATTGTAAATATCCCGCACTTATACCCAGAATTTCATGTTTATTCTGCTATCCTGCGTCACAATCACGGATTATTGCTCCATTGCCTGCATTATTTTTCCCGGTGTAGTTATGCAACTCTGCCTCGTTAATCTATGCTCTCTCTTACGTTGATCATAATTCTTTATTATAATCTATAATTCACTTCTTTAATCAATAATTCATTATTATAATCGAATATTAAGTATTATAATAGATAAGTAATTATTATAATCAACAATTCATTATTATAGTCGATAATTAATTATTATAATTGATAATTCATTATTATAATAAAAAATTCATTATTATAATCAATATTTCATTATTTTAATCGATACTTCATCATTATAATCGATAATTCAATATTATAATCAATAATTCATTATTCTCATCCACGACAATAATGAATGAAGAATTTGACATCTATACTCGGAAAAATTAATGTGACTTTGTACAAATGGTGATACACTTTTTGCCCTCCTGCGGCCCAGTTTGACCCACTCAGTTTCTGTTGATAACTTTGGTGAGTTGAACACCCACTATGACAGATGTGTTCAACTTAACTCTTATAATTCAAAGTTTTCAAATAGTTTCAATTGTTCACTGTGTTTAGCAATTGTATGAATGTGCAAGCAAAGGCAGTAATGTTAGCAAAGACAGCAATAGCAGCAAAGGCAGCAAAGACAGCAATAGCAGCAGAGGCAGCATAGGTAGCAATAGCAGCAAAGGCAGCAAAGACAGCAATAGCAGCTAAGGCAGCAAAGACAGCAATAGCAGCTCCGTGAGCCGTTATGTGTCAAAATGCGAGCCATATTGAGGCGCAAAGTGAGCCGAAAACTGCTCAATGTTAATAACAATAACTTTCGCTCATATCCACCTCCTCAATCAATGCATATTAATTTTTCGTCGAACGAATCAATGCGTAGGACTTTGGGTGCAAAATTAAATATCATTGTAATTTCCGCACACACAAAACTCGGTTCATTAAAACCACCGAACTTTATTCATGATGACTAAATATTGCGTCCTTTTCAAAGCATCACGAAAATGACTTTACTTTAAAGCTGCATTTTTTCACAGCTGCATTTCTTTCACAGCTGCATTTGTTTCAGACATTCAATCATTTATTTATGTCTGCGTTTGTCTTAAATCTTTGGCTTGTCACAAGATGTCTCAGGTCTTTGGTTGTTGTGCTGTGATTGTTTGATCGGAAGTTGTTCTCAAAGCTCGGCGGTTGGGGCGCTTTTGTCCTCAGATTCCTCTCGTTGTACTCACTTCCTTTGGCGCTCCTCAGCGTAAAAATCAAATCCTACCCGCGGCAACCGGCAATGCATTCATTCATTCAAACCGGCTCGCAACCGAACCCAACCGTGCCAGAACGATCCACTGAATCAAAGTTATCGGTCGGGAACAGTTCGGTAGTCCCAACGCAACGGATCTGAATTCACCCCGACACGAACCCCAGGTTGACGCCTGTATTCAGATCGGTAGGTGGAAAGGTACCGCCGAAATTCAAGGATTTCCTTTGAAAATTTCCGCTCGAAGGATTTCTTTGTCTCGACTTAATCGTAGGCAGCGAAGCCAGGTAGAGATCCTTGTACACGTAGCTGTTTTCGACAGATTCTCTTTGTTGTAGAGCGCGTATTCTCACGTGGGCCTCTCACGTAGAGTCCTATGAGGTATTATGAGGGCCTACTCACATAGACTCCATTATCAGGACAAGAGAACTACCTCATAATGTTGTCTCATGTACCAAAATTCCTGTCCAGCATACCTCCTCATAATGTTGTCTCATGTACCAATATTCCTGTCCGGCATACCGCATCATAATGTTGTCTCATGTACCAATATTCCTGTCCGGCATACCGCCTCATAATGTTGTCTCATGTACCAATATTCCTGTCCGGCATACCTCCTCATAATGTTGTCTCGTATGCAATATTCTCGTCATAAATACTGGCTTATAATATCCTATTTTCCATGCTCCTGCCCGTTATGTATTTACTGAATAATTGGAATCTGTTTATAAACACCGTTGCCTCTGACACTATTTCTATTTATTTTTCTTACTTACTTGCTGAATGTTGATTCTTATTCAGCATAGATTTTTACATTTTTTCTTCCGCATGTGGACGGTTCTATTTTTTACTCTTCATTTTTACTGTGTTTTTATATAAGCCTGCTTATTTTTCGTTGGAACGCACGATCTCGATTTTTGTCATCGCTAATAATTCTCTCAAAACCTTGGCAATTTTAATAATTTTATGGAATACGATTTTTTTGCGCTGAATATCGAATTAACCTCCACCTCTTGAGCTTGTATTTTGCTTCTTTCTGTCGTGGTCCCTCTGTGGTCCCTGTCGTGGTCCCTGTCGTGGTCCCTCTGTGGTCCCTGTCGTAGTCCCTGTCGTGGTCCCTGTCGTGGTCCCTGTCGTGGTCCCTGTCGTGGTCCCTGTCGTGGTCCCTGTCGTGGTCCCTGTCGTGGTCCCTGTCGTGGTCCCTGTCATGGTCCCTGTCATGGTCCCTGTTGTGGTCCCTGTCGTGGTCACTGTCATGGTCCCTGTCATGGTCCCTGTCGTGGTCCCTGTCGTGGTCCCTGTCATGGTCCCTGTCGTGGTCCCTCTGTGGTCCCTCTGTGTCCCAGATTCTCGCGCACAAAGCAACTCATCGATCGCTGCTTCCCACCTAACACTCAAAACAATTGATGGGTCATGTTGTCTAAATAATGACGCACTCTCCCATATTTCTGTCTGCTACTTGCCGTGCTGCTATACATTGTGTTACAATTGCGCGACCATAACACAATTTTATTGTCTGCAGTACAATTGTGTGACATAAAATTGTAGCTTTTTGTAGAATGACTCGGTGTAAAGCTACTTTTCTTCAAAGAGTCACCGTTCATTTTTAAATATCACTCTAGGTTGTGTGACTCTAACCCCTCCCCCAGCCCCATATCCAAGATCCCTTACACCCTAGCCCCCCACCTCCCCAGCGTAGGGGACCCCCCCCCCCCACACACAAAGCGCCCCTCCCCCACAAAGCAATTACGTGAACTGTTAATGAATTAAACGCTACTTTGCTGCTCCCTGTAGCTCGCGTCAGCTTCCTCGCCTCGCTTTGGCTTCCTCATTAAATCATCACTTGACTATCGTCCATATTTATATCTTGTTTTAATTAATTCATTTAGTCACTATTTTATTGATATTTTACGCAATTTTCACCTTCATCATCCGCGGAATTTTCTGTCTCGTTTTGCATGATAGAAGCTGCAATTCATGGTGCGATGAACTTGTACGTTTCCTTCGACAAATTTTGAATAATGTATTTGTAAGCATTAATATTTGCCTTAGTATGTGGGTATATGTTATAATAAAAGCATAAATATTTAACTCGAGTTGGTGAAGCGTTAGTAAAGCGCAATACGAAAGTCATGTATCTTATCACTATCACTATAAATAAATTACTTTAACTCTACGGGGTCGCGATTCCACTTTCCGAGTTAATCAATTGTAATGTTGAGAAACTTTGAATGAGTAAACGTCTCTTTAAATCCGGATTTTGCACCAATAACACATTGCTTAGAAATGTTGTCGGTATTGATCCCATCATCGGAAACGTTTAACTTTATTTCAGATTTTCTTGCACGTAGCCATAGATTCTTTATGACTTAAGATATGTAATCAATTTCACTTTTTATATAAATGCATGTATATTGTGTTATTTTCTAACTTTGTTTTCTTTCTTCATTATTCAATCAATCGGATGATAATTTTCAATTCGTATACTGTTCAAACTTTAATTTTTTAAGTTTATTGGTTACTTCAATTAACTTGTATCATTCCGACATTAGTCAACGTTCTACTTATTTAATCTTTCATCCAGCCTCTCCAAATTAAATATTTTAAACATCTAAATTTTTTTATAACAATTAATCATATCAAAATGATTTATAAATAATTTTCAGATAATTATGTATCTAAATTATAATTGAAGTCTTCGAGTTATCATTAACTAAATTTCAATCAAAATATATTTAAAAATAAAATATCGGATTTTTTTATAATGATACGTTTATGTATGAGAGTTAAAAATCATTCTAATTACAATTATTGAAAATTTTCTAACCCAACCACGTTCCAACCCCGCAGGTTTCCCCAGCAACCTGCCTTACTACCACTCCCCTTACAACATCCACCACATGGCGGCCGCAGCCCTACAACAACAGTCACAAAGTGCCCCATCCTACGGGTACGAGGCCTCCAAGTACCCCTCCTACATGACGGGGCTACCATCCTACCCCATGGGGCTATACGGGTCCTCATCATCGGTCCAGGGGGGGAATGAGGCCTCCAAGTTTGGGGAGACTGGCAAGACCAATTCAGTGTCAGCCTTCGACCAAACTCAAGGTGAGACTTCAGCATGTGGCCGTACCGTTTACAGCCGGTGCCGGTAAGCCGAGTACCGTTAAACGTGATACCGTTAAACGTTAAACTTGATGCCGCTAAACTTGATACCGTTAAAGGTGATACCGTTAAACGTTATACCGTTAAACGTGATATCGTTAAGCGTTAATACCATTGAACGTTATACCGTTAAACGTTATACCGATAAACTTTATACAGTTAAACATAATCCGTTAAACATACCGTTAAAGTGATACCGTTAAACGTGATATCGTTCTACGTTAATACCGTTAAACGTTATACCGATAAACTTTATACAATTAAAGATGATCCCATAAAACGTCATACCGTTAAACGTGATATCGTTAAACTTGATATTTTTAAGCGTGATACTAGAATAGGACGATACAGTGTGATGTGACTTACAATATGATAAAACGATTCTTATCTTATCTAATCTAATCTGCAGACCTCTAAGATAACGCGCTCCCTTATCTTATCTGCAGACCCATACGATAACGCGCTCCCTTATCTAATCTGCAGACCCTATGATAATGCGCTCCCTTATCTTATCTGCAGACCCCTACTATAACCCGTTCCCTTATCTTATCTACAGACCCCTACTATAACACTCTCCCTTATCTTATCTGCAGACCCCTACTATAACGCGCTCCCATATCTTATCTGCAGACCCCTACGATAACAAACTGACAGACCACAAGGAGGTCGAAATGAAGAGCGAGAGTCCGGCTCCCCAGTCTTCCTACGGCTCAAGTCTGTCCAGCTACTACGGCTCTGCTGGATTCTCCGGCTCAGCCTTCCAGCCGTCCAGCGGTCTCACCCAGATGTCGCTGCTGCAGCCCAGCCAAGTGGGGGCTTATCCAGGCCCCCCAGCCCAGTATCCGCCCATGGGGGACAACCGTAGGCCGCTGTCCGTTATTTTTTAACCCCCGGCCCACTAACCCCCAAGGGGGACAACCGTAGGCCGCTGTCCGTTATTTTTTAACCCCTCGGCCCACTAACCCCCATGGGGGACAACCGTAGGCCGCTGTCCGTTATTTTTTAACCCCTCGGCCCACTAACCCCCATGGGGGATGTAAACAATCATAACGTGACATGATGGCTCAAGATCATCGTATCATGAGGGCTTAGGATCATCGTAACATGAGACATGATGGCTTAGGATCATCGTAACATGAGACATGATGGCTTAGGATCATCGTAACATGAGACATGATGGCTTAGGATCATCGTAACATGAGACATGATGGCTTAGGATCATTTTATTGTACAAATGCCTTTAGTAAATTTTTCTTTGCTATATTCCTTATGATTTCAATTCACGCCAAATAATTGGAAACATTCCTTATGCAGAAAATGAGCCTGTAATGTTTCCTGTTGTTTTTGTAAAATGAGCAGAAAATGAGCCTGTAAAACTTGAAATATTATTAATGAAGAATAGTATCATGTAATTTTTGTCTTGACGTTAACATGTAATTAGACGACTGAGAGAATTCATGTAAGCTTGGTAGCCTGAGACTCAATTTTTTAGCGAGTGATTTACGAAGTTAATAACTATTTAGAAACTCATGTTTAAAACCATTGTTAAAACATGTATAGAATGAGCCTCATTTTTTCAGCGAGTTAATCGTGATTTATGAAGTTAATAACTATGTAGAAGCTCATGTTTAAAACCATTGATAAAACATGTATAGAACCTTGTACAAAGCCAGGGAGAAAACCATGATTAAAACCAGGTTTAAAACCATGTATAGAACCAGGTTTAAAACCCGGTATAGCAACCCTCGCATAACGTCCATTGTAATGCAGATGAAGGTATTACTAGCAAATTTTTGCTCATATAATTTGGTGTAAATCTGATATATAATCAAACAAGAAAAATAGAAAACTCGGGCATAGAATTACAAAATAATTTACAGCGGCATCCTCCCTCTTATTTGCTCAACAATTATTTTAATTTCTTTAGAAATGAGTAGACAAATGACGCCATGTTTTTTGTGGTTTGGTGCCTGAAAAATGTTGTTGTGCTGAGACACTTAATAATAAATTGCACGTGTTGTTCGAATTTTATTTAAACATCTGTTGTGTTCTGAAACTGAAAACATTCCATGTTCATGTGATAGGTAATTCATTATTTTCTACCTCATTCATTCCTGTTACATTCCATTCACTCCTGTTACATTCCATTCACTCCTGTTACATTCCATTCACTCCTGTTACATTCCATTCACTCCCATTCACTCCTGTTACATTCCATTCACTCCTGTTACATTCCATTCACTCATGTTACATTCCATTCACTCCTGTTACATTCCATTCACTCCTGTTTCACTCCATTCACCCCTGTTAGATTTCAATGAATGTTTCACTGCTCTATTGTAGATAAGTTGTACTAAACAATATTGTACTACAACACAAAATATTCACTTTTGTGTAACAAGTAGCTCGTTGTGCGCTATGATGTGTTATTGGCTGTGGTGTGTCGTATTGTATAAAGTTTTCATATTATTGTAGTTATATAAGGCCATAACCTTAGTATTGTGATTGTTCGGCATTTCTGTGACCTGCGGGTAACCCACGTACGATTGTTGAGAATTATGGGTGGCTTTTAGGCGGCCAATAAGTGACAAGGAGCGACATATTCGACTCTGATTTTTTTAAACCGAAGTATTTCCGTATAATTTCCTGGAAATTGTACTTTGATTCAATTAATTAGTTACTATTTACCCAATTAACTCATGATGATTAAGTCAATTTCGCCTTTCCGCATTAGGATTTTCAAATCTTGACTTTGTTGTGGCATTTGCTGAGATACGAGCTTAGCTTTTATAATGTTAGGTATGATATTTTTAATGAATTGTAAATTGTTCGCATTGTTCGCTAAACGTACGCATGTTATCTATGTGGTAGCTGAGTGTATTTTTACGATAATCAAACATTGTTTTGACGAAATAATTCAGATAGGCATAACATTCCTTACAAGAAAAAGTTTGTAGGTTCGACTTAACCTTTTATCGTTGGTAGGTTATTACTTCTACCATACATTTCATTCACAATTAAATTGTTATCACACGATTATATCAGTTATCAGCGATAACTGATGAGTAATCACGTGTAAATCATGTTGAGGTCTTGCATTTAATGTTGCAGCATTAATGACAAGAGATGCATTTTAAATTGTTATTGTACAAGCAGTTTTAGACCATTGATCCATTCCATTGGTTTAAGTCAAGCACATTTATTTATTCCATTAGTGTAATTCTAGCCCTTTTATTTTCCATTACTGTAATTCTAGCCCATTGATCTATTCCATTGATGTAATTCCTTCCCATTGATCTATTCCATTGATGTAATTCCAGCCCATTGATCTATTCCATTGATGTAATTCCATCCCATTGATCTATTCCATTGATGTAATTCCAGCCCATTGATCTATTCCATTGATGTAATTCCATCCCATTGATCTATTCCATTGATGTAATTCCAGCCCATTGATCTATTCCATTGATTTCATTCCAGCCCATTGATTTATTCCAATAATGTAATTTTAGCGTAAGTCATCAGCTGATTGTATGCTAACTCACAATACACGCGCAGTCGATGAAACTTCATTCATTATTTTCATTCATCCATAAAAAAAACTCATTCACAAGAAACTTTAAAAATGTCATCACTTTTTTTAGAACGAATGACCACACTGATATTAAGTTTTAACACAGATGTAATGTGTAACACACTTAATGTGTACACATTTGTTTCATCATAACCTGTATACATCATGTTGAATGTTTACAAAATTTCAAAATGGTGATTTTATGGGATATATTTAACATTTCAGAGGATATTACCTACTCTGTCTAGCAGTTACCTAGTAACATATTCTCTGTATGTGCCGCGGGATCGATCTTATACTCTATGACTTATAGAATTGTCTTTTCAGGTAGGAATAGCATTATTGAACAGTTGAAGTATTCATCTGAGTAAAAAAATATGAATAAGAAGTTTTGAAATGAATTTGACGATATGGCATTTGTCCGATGCCCATTCACATTTACTAGGTACGAAGGGTGATTATAGTATTTGGTAATGAACCAGTAATGGGTGATTAATGTAATGGGTGATTAGTAGTAATGGGTATTTAAAGCGCTATAGTTAACGACCAAACCTGTATCCTCCATAATTATTCCTCTCTAAAAACTAAAATTAGTACCTAGATGAAATGAATGTACTTTTACTTTAATTAAATGTAAGGTAAGACCTAAAATTACATGATGAACTGTACAAACTTCGCATATGTCCAGCCGCAATTAGTACAATTGTTGATATTATAAAATAGATGAACAAATTTAAACTGTGTTGTATTGTTGTACATATTTCAATATATGACTGAAAGGAACGAGAGCAAAATAAATGTTGGAATGTCGCTCTTGTTTTCATTGCTTTAATGTTCTGGGGCCATACTTTCAGAACTCGCTAAGTGAACGTAAGTACTTACGCTCTATTTTCTTGTCTATAATTGGTGGATTTTGCTTGAAAGGCTGTCAATGATTGGCTGATGAACTTACGATCTCTTAACTTTGTTTGAAAGTATAGGCCCTGCATTTCAGGTAGCAACCGAACCTACCGCTGCGTACACTTGGAGAAATAAGTGGCTAATAGTTCAAATAGTGATGCTCTTGTTTTCTTTTAGTGGACCATTAAGTCCCAGTTTGGCCCAGCAATGGGCACATCAGTGCTACGTACTCTTCTCGCTCGTACTGTGGGTGAGAAAGTGTTTCACTATTTGGACAATATAAGCCATTCATTTTACTGAATGTTTCCTGCTGTATGACCGCTCACGCTCTACAATGCGATTATAAACGTGATGATGAATGGAATGAGGAATGCAATGATGAATGTGATGAATAATATTTAAAAATATTTAATAACGGGCGAAATTTAATTCCTAGATACTGCGCACTACTGATTGCAGTTTTAGAAGAAAGAAAGAAATCCGATATTTTTTTGCAGTCAATGAGGATCAATAGTAACCTTTTCAATTTTTGGCCCCTTCCATGTTTCAAAAAATTTTCGAATAATATCTTCTCAGTTATCTATTTTCCTAAAAATATCGTCTCCTTATATGTAGTTTTCAATAAATTTCTTCTGTAATATAAACGCGTTCAATTCAAAATTTATATCAGGTATAAAAAAAACTTATTAAAATTTTAAGCAAATTTTGGGAAAAAATGAAGCGAACCATGTTTGTCCAAACTCAGTAACACGATTTGTAAAGGACTTTCTTGTAGGCTTGTCTTTCGGGAGTCTTATTGCAAGACGTGCCATCAGGCAGGATAAGAAACGAAAATTCCATGACGTACGGTTTCTAGAAAGTTACAAGAACATACATACATAAGATAAATATACAAGGAATAATGCATTATGTATACATGAAATAACAATATAAAAACTATGACAATTCAATAATAAAGAAACGGGGTAATTACTAATTCAAGTAAGCAATGAATATTTATATATCTAACCAACCGAAATAGGGGTGCGCAGCCGTCGGCCACAAATTTTATTTTTGAACAAGCCTTTAAGCAAACATTCTGTATAAACATGCTCAGCTAAACTCAGCCTCAGAGCTACCAGGCGCAGATCAAGCTTGAAACACCGCAAGCCATACCGGTTCCGCGATGGCTGGAAGCCAAAAGTTTTGTGTGCCTGCAGTTTCTGTTCCAGACAATATATTCTTCACGGCATCTACACCCCAGCATGCGCCTACCTCCACACTTACCCCACTACTCCACCTAGCTGCAGCCAATGCCCGGATCCAGTTCCCTACTTTCCTCGCTTCTCCACCTTGCAGCAGCAAATGCCCGGATCCAGTTCCCTACTTTCCCCGCTTCTCCACCTTGCAGCAGCCAATGCCCGGATTCAGTTCCCTACTTACCCCGCTTCTCCACCTTGCAGCAGCCAATGCCCGGATTCAGTTCCCTACTTACCCCGCTTCTCCACCTTGCTGCAGCCAGTGCCCGGATCCAGTTCCCTACTTTCCCCGCTTCTCCACCTTGCAGCAGCCAATGCCCGGATCCAGTTCCCTACT